GCCTCAGCCTCCTGAGTAGCTGGGATTACAGGCGTCTGCCACCATGCCCAGCTGATTTTTGTATTTTTAGCAGAGATGGGGCTTCACCACGTTGGCCAGGCTGGTCTCAAACTCCTGACCTCAAGTGATCCATCTGCCTTGGCCTCCCAAAGTGCTGGAATACAGGTGTGAACCACTGTGCCTGGCCTAAATGTGTCACTTTCTATTTTAGGCAACCAGCATCTCTCCATCCTGGCCCTCCTGGGCCCCCACAAAACCTGCCGCCATTTCTTTCGTACCACATGTTGGGTTTTCTTACCCACAGGTATCTCCTGGTCCACCTCCTCTGAAGACTCTGAGCTCCTAGAGGGCTAGAAGTGTGACTTGTCCCCCTTGGCATCACAAGGTATTACAAGGGCCTGGCATGTGGACAGTTCCATATGTGTGGCATGAATGAATGAATGGTCGATGACAGCTTGGTCATCAGAGGTAGGGGCGCAGAACGAGAGAATTCATCCCACACGGTCCCAGTGTTTTCACCACTCCCGCCCCTCCCTGACAGGACTACTCAGAGGGGCTGGGACCTAGGGTGTGAGTTGCAATGAGAATTTCCCTGTAAGAATTCAGGGAGGTAGGAAGAGGCAAGTGTTGGTCAACATGTGAGATAAAGATGTGGGGGCACTCACCCTTCCTTATGTCTCTACCCCAGCAGGCAAGGTTCCGTGGAAAGGGTGGGCTCTGGAGTGGGAACATAAGTGGGTGAAAAGACTTCTGGAAGGAGGAAAGAGTAGCTGCATGGCCTTGCACGTGTACCAGTCAGGGTTCGCCAGTGAAACAGAGCGGTGGGACAGAGACATAAATATGTACTATATACAGAGATCTTCTCCCCCCATGTATATCTGTGGGGAGAAAGAGAGCAGTTTATTGTTATTATTATTATTAATGATTATTTTTGAGGCAGAGTCTCTCTGTCTCCCAGGCTGGAGTGCAGTGGCGTGACTTCCACTCACCTCAACCTCCGCCGCCCGGACTCAAGCAGTTCTCCTGCCTCAGCCTCCTGAGTAGCTGGGATTACAGGTGTGCACCACTGTGCCAGGCTAACTTTTGTAATTTTAGTAGAGATGGAGTTTTGCCATGTTGGGCGGGCTGGTCTTGAACTCCTGACCTCAGGTGATCTGGCCACCTCAGCCTCCCAAGGTGCTGGGATTAGAGGCGTGAGCCACGGTGCCTGGCCGAGAGGGATTTATTATAAAGAATTGGGTGACAAGTTCTAAGATCTGAAGTCAGGAGAGCTGCTGGTGTCATTTCAGTCTCAAGACCCAGGAGAAACTGATACCTGAAGGCAGTTGGAGTCTGAAGGCAGGAAAAGACTGATGTCCCAGCTCTAAGGCAGTCAGGCGGGAGTTCCCCTGCTCACTGAAGGGTCAACCTTTTTATTCTACTAGGCCTTCAGCTGACTGGATAAAGCCCTTCCACTCTGGGGAGGAAAATCTGCTTCACTCAGTCTGCCAATTCCAATGTTAGTCTCATCAGAACACCGCAGGATCATACTTAACCAAATGTCTGGGCACCCTGTGTCCCAGTCAAGTTGACACATAAAATTAAGCATCACAGCAAACCACTATGCATCGCTATGTATCACTGGGCTTCAGTTACAGTATCAGTAAATCCGAGTGGGGTGATGGGGAGGTGGATTGTATCTACTTTGAAAGGTAGTTGGAAAAATCAGCAAAATAGGGCCTGTGGGTGTGGCCATGGTACCTAGTGAGGCTCAATGGCTGGTAGTGATGATGATGATGATGTCAGGCTAGTGGCAGCAAAGGGCTCTGTGGTGGAGTGTGTCAGTGGCTAGAGAGATTAGTCACCCCCTGACCCACTGGTAGTCCCTGGGGGTAGGCTCCAGCACCTCCTCCCCCCCAGGACTGGTTCCAACCTCCCTTGATTCTCTCTCCTTCAGCTCCTTACAGAGCCTTCCCTCTCAATATTTCCTCCTGATTGCCTTCTGGTTTTCTGCAGCCTCCTGAAGAGGTTCCTGGTCTGCAGGTTAGGCAGCTTTCTCTTTCTTGCAAGAGAGGCCCCACACCTGGGATAAGAGGCAAGGTCTGAAAAAGGGCAGAACTGTGGGGAGGAAGGGAAGAGGACAGGGGACCGATGATGGGGGAAGGTCAGCTAGAGCAGGAGCCCGTGCAGCCGGCTTTGGAAGAACTTAGCAGGAGCAGGAAGCCTGAGGGTGACGTGGTGACAGTGGTGTGTGGATGGAGCCAGCGGGTACTGGCCCTCAGGAGCTGATTCTAACCCTGACAATCAAGATGCAGTCATCCATCCATTCTGGACTCTGCATTCAGTGATGTCTTGTTGCTTGAAATCGGGTATGGTAGAAAACGGGCAAATGCTACAAATCAAGGCATTTCCCCTACCCGAGAGCAGGTGTGAAGCATTTACCAGGACGCCGCTGGTGGGTGGAGGTGTACTGGAGAGTGGTGGAGCATAGGAAAGAGTTGGCTGAAGAAGCCAGCCAGAAAGAGCGCTCCTGTGCCCCTGCAGTGGTAAACAGACGTGGACTTGAGCTCCAGGCTCAGTTATTTACTGAGTGACCTTGGGCAACTTACTCATCCTCTCCCAGCATCACTTTCTTTTATTTTCTTTCTTTCATTTTTTTTTTTTTTTGAGACGGAGTCTCGCTCTGTCGCCCAGGCTGGAGTGCAGTGGCACAATCTCCGCTCACTACAACCTCCACCTCCCAGATTCAAGCACTTCTCCTGCCCCAGCCTCCCAAGTAGCTGTGATTACAGGCAAGAGCCACCACTCCTGGCTAGTTTTTTGTATTTTTAGTAGAGATAGGCGTTTCACCATGCTGACCGAGCTGGTCTCAAACTCCTGACCTCGTGATCCCCCTGCCTCCGCCTCCCAAAGTGCTGGGATTACAGGTGTGTGCCACCGCTCCTAGCTATTTTTTTTTTTTTTTTGGTATTTTTAGTAGAGACGGGGTTTCACCATGTTGGTTAGGCTGGTGACCTCAAATGATCCACCTGCCTCGGTCTCCCAGTGTCGGGATTACAGGTGTGAGCCACCGCACCCAGCCCAATTTCTTATCTATGTTGCAGGATTGATTCGCATCCGGTTTAAATTTATATGTACACATATATGGTATTTAAAATCATGACCATTCCCACCTAATAAATGTTATCTATTATATCTATTATTGTTTTGGGAGATAAAAGCATGTGTTAGAAAAATAAGCCTTTTTTTTTTTTTTTGAGATAGGTCTCCAGCT